GACGCACAGGTACACTACATACCGTCATCCACACACTCGCTCTAACTGTATGCAAATGTGTCGCGAGAGAGCATGCGCCGAGCTTTCTGAGCCGAACCGTACACAGCCGACACGAGACACACTCATTTGCATGCTGGCCTGCTCAGACACGAAGAAGGGCACCGCGATTGACTGGAAAATGTCTCTGTTTGTCATGTGAACCACACCCGCTGGACACAAACACAGCCAAGAGCCCCGCAGCACAAATCTCTTCAAATGTTTCCAGTGCTTCGGCAGTCTCGAGACTTCTTCTTGCAATGCAATCTGAATCAGGGTTTGAGGAATATATGGTGGATTTGTTCAAATTGGGTTGAAATGATATTTTGCATCACTCCTATTGCTTTATTTCACCATCAGGCATCATTTGGACAGGGTTAGGGCTAAAATGATATTTTGATTGCTTCCATTTGTAAACGACTAAATGTAAAATGAATTTTGGCCTACTTCTTAATAAAACACATGATAAGTAATAGCCTATATCTTAATGCATACATGCATTCATTCATAATATGAGGATGTTGAAACTCATTTTCACGCTTAAAGGGATAGTTCACTTAAAATGAAAACCCTGTTATTGTTCACTCATCCTCTTGTTGTCCCAAACCTGTATGAAAAGATCATTTGAAGAATGTTGGGAAGCAAACAGCTGATGGTAGCCATTGATTTCCATGTATGGAAAGGAAGTCAATGGCTACCGTCAACTGTTTGGCTACGCACATTATTCAAAATATCTTCTCAAGAAACAAACTCACATGCATGATGACGGGGTTTTTATTTCTGGGTGAACTGTCCCTTTAAGAACACTTTTGTAAATGCAAAGCCACACTGATAAAAATGAAGCAGTGTTTTTATTGTTTTACAGTGTTCTCGCTGACTACAGTTCAGTCTGTTAGCAGAGCTGTGACGTCAACGTATGCAAATCAGGCGAGCCGAAGAACACGCCCACACCTGTTCCCTTGTGTCCTCTATCTGTTCTTCACCGCTGCTTTCTCAACATACACAAATGTTTCATGTGTATAAATCAGTTCTCATTCTATATTTACCCGCACTTTATTTTTACTGGTTCGTGTTTGGATTGTGTGTAGCTTATGTGTGTTCTGTCAGAATCCTTTCAATGCTAGTGAACCCTGAATCGTCTGTGCAAATGACTAATAAACAAATTGACTTCAGCAATGATTTTAGGCATGATGAAGAAAATGGAAACAACTGCATTTAATTCATTTTTACTGCAAGTGAAATAAATGTAATATTCACGTGAAGTCTAGAAGTGCTTTATTTAGTGTTCGGAGTGTGTGTAGCTTATGTGTGACTGCTGTAGATAACAGAAAAAGAAAGCTATTTTCTGTGAATGTGCGAGACTTCCGGTTCATTAGCCGCTATCGGTAAATAACTAAAAGAAAAACAAAGTACAGTAAACGGTATTTGCGCTACAAACCAGTGTGTTTGCGATTATGATGATACATTAAAATAATATGATTTTTTTTTGCACTATCGAGCAGCACAATGGACTGTTTTGGTATTGCTAAAAAAAAATAACCGGAAGTTAACCAATGACACCGGAAGTCTCGCCCATTCAAAGTGCAAAACGCACGCGCAATATTTGCGTTAAAAATAAGGCTGTGATTGGAGAGAGTGGACATTTGTTTGTTTAACATTGTATGTATATTTTAGTGTTTTGCATGACAGATATGCTGTATATCAACAAGTGTTTTCCAGTTGAGCTTATCTGGGGCACGTTCAAGCTCAAACCGGTGTGCACCGTTTTGCTACGGTTTCCGGTTTGAACGGCATGTTTCCTGGAAACGGTGTGCAACGGTGTGCAACGGGTTTAGAGATGCGTTTCTCTTGTTTGGTGGGTGCGTCAAACATATCAGCCCAATCAGCAGCAGCATGTATATAAACCACGCGGTATTAAAGAGACAGCTGCACAATGTAATTAACATCCAAATAAATTCACAAGAGCAAGTATATTGTGTGCACATGTTTATTTATCAGCTAAATATCTACAGTGGATCTAAAATATGACTAGTTAATTATAACTAGTTATGGTTAATTATTCATATTTCCCCATGAGCTGATTCGCTACAATCCTAACACAGTCTCGGAGGTAAGAAGTGGATTATCCTTCACCTGAAATGTTTGTCTTTTCATCCTGAAATGCGAGGCAAATGTTGGATCACAATAATTAGGAACCACAGTTTCCACAAATCCCTTCATTTGATTGGGATGTTCTCTTTTATTCTGGAGGGCAAGCGCAAGGGCAGTGACTGTACCATCCAGCATATTTTGCAGTATTAAACACGTATTTATAGAGATTTCATCAGGCTCTGAGAATTTTCAAAAAGAACACAAAGAATGGCCTTCTCAGCTGCCATAGCTGCAACTCTTGCGTCATCAGAACAGAGTTCAACGCACCACCGTTTCCGTTTAAACAACATTTTGCACCATTTTTGTCGCGGCTGAACGCAGCCCTGTTCACTAGTGACACTTACACAAAACATCCTCACGAGCTCATCATCCGGTTATTTGGAGACATTCAAGTTCACTAAATTAATAACTGTATCAGATCTGCTGATCATTCATGCATTATAAGCTCACACTTCAGAACAGAAACCCGCGTTTTGATCACTGATGCTCAATCTGCCAGTGAGCGTTCTCAGAAGGTTTCCTCAAAGTTATGATTCCTCTGTAATGTTCTTTATCTGGTCTCAATGTTCTCAAAACATTAGCACAAAGACGGTATTCATATATTGATTATGGATTGTTTGATTCCTTAAATGTTTCAGGTTGGATGTTCATCTAACATTTTTAAATGTTACTAGTTTCAGACCTTTCAAAGAACATTCAAAAGTAGCGTTCCCATAGCTGCAGGAAATTCTAAAATGGAATGTTTATTCACATAACAAATAAAAGTTTTTAAAAACTTGTTTTCATAACTCAGAACCTTCTCGGAGCATATTTTTGTCAGCTGGGTTGCATTATAAATGTTGGATGTCTACAAGTGTTTTCCCAGATCCGTGTATCTGTTCAGTAGTGACATTTACAGAAAACCTCCACAAGAGTCCAGCAAAGAGCTCGAGGCAGACACAACTCTGTTCATCACAACTTGCTTATTTGGAGACTTCTGTAATAGAACAGAGATAGAAGTACTGATCAGCGTTTGTCAGACCTCACAGAAAACAGGGAGCGTTCTCATATGGAGATAGAATTGTTGCTTAATTACAAATAAATAGATTATGATCCACAAATAACAAAAATTAAACATATTGACAAATAAATGGAATGAGATCCACAAATATAGATTGTGGTTGTGACATAATTATATATTTGTGAATATGATTTTAATTTGCAGATCTCATTTTATTTATTTGTCAATTAAATTGATTGTGAACCTAAAACGTTGCTGTTGATTGCTAAGAAAACATTCAGAAAACTTAATGGGAACGTTAGCAACAGCGCTGGGGAAAGTTACTTTTAAAAGTAATGCATTACAATATTGCATTAGTCCATTAAAAAAGTAACTAATTACGTTACTTAGTTACTTTTTATGGAAAGTAATGTGTTACGTTACTTTTGCGTTACTTTGTAAATCTGGACAGGGCTTGCTTGTTTGTTTATAAAATAAAAAAGTTATATTTTTGGCAAATATAAAAGCGTTTCACACCAAAAGGGAAATGAATAAGCCTCAGGCTGAAGGGAAAGTAAGTTTACGTCCGTACAGTAGAATGCAGAAGAAGACATTTCAACACACTTCAGCAATAAACAAAGACACACAAATGTTCGTCTAGAGTAATTTGTGCTTATTAGTACGCTTGAACTGCATCATCGAAGCTCAGAAGCTAATAGAATGGGATTAAATACATAAAGCATATTTGTGTTGTTTAACATTTCATTATTGCAGGTTTGCGTCATATTCTGAGTTGCATTATTTTTATTCATTTTGAGGAATACTGAATCTGTTTTTTTGTGAGAGATTAATTAATGCATATTCATATTTATTTTAGAACTACAGGAACATCTTCTGATTTCTCTCAACATGAGGACAGGAGAGCTGTCAATCAATAAATTGGGGGAAAAAAGTAACTTGCGTCACTTATTTGAAATAGTAACTCAGATATTCTCTTGTAAATTAAAAAGTAATGCGTTACTTTACTAGTTACTTGAAAAAAGTTATCTGATTATGTAACTTGCGTTACTTGCAATATATTACCCCAACACTGGTTAGCAATACGTTCATAGAACATATTTTGTTGACTGGGCTGGCTCTGAAGGACTTATTAATGTCTCCCTCATCTCACTTCCACTGTTTATTATTAAGCTGATATTGTCAAGTGTGTGAGTGTGTGTGTGTATGTGTGTGTGTGTGTGTGTGTGAGTGTGAGTGTGTGTTTGTGTGTGTGTGTGTGTGTGTGTGTGTGTGTGCGTGCGTGCGTGTGTGTGTGTGAGAGAGAGAGTGTGTGTGTGTGTGTGTGAGTGTGTTTGTTTTTGTTTGTGTGTGTGTGTGTGTGTGTGTGTGTGTGTGCGTGCGTGCGTGTGTGTGTGTGAGAGAGAGAGTGTGTGTGTGTGTGTGTGAGTGTGTTTGTTTTTGTTTGTGTGTGTGTGTGTGTGTGTGTGTGTGTGTGCGTGCGTGCGTGTGTGTGTGTGAGAGAGAGAGTGTGTGTGTGTGTGTGTGAGTGTGTTTGTTTTTGTTTGTGTGTGTGTGTGTGTGTGTGTGTGTGTGTGCGTGCGTGCGTGTGTGTGTGTGAGAGAGAGAGTGTGTGTGTGTTTGTGTGAGTGTGTTTGTTTTTGTTTGTGTGTGTGTGTGTGTGTGTGTTTGTGTGAGTGTGAGTGAGTGTGTGTGTGTGTGTGTGTGTGTGTGTGTGTGTGTGTGTGTGTGTGTGTCCAACATCCAGAGCGTGCAGAAGTTGAGCAGCAGGGTTGAACCTCTGGAGATCTCACTCTTGTCCGTCAGTTCAGTCAGTTATTCCGTCACTCGTGTGTTCTCCTCTCAGATGATGCGTGTTTGTTGAGCTGTTCATGAAGTGTGTTTGATTGCGTTTCCTTCTTTAAAACCAGGAAATGTTTGATGTGGAGCGGATGTTGAGCTTCTCTCTCTGTATCTTCATCAGCAGCGCGGGTGAGATCGAGCTCCATCAGTCATGAGGTGAGTCAAAACATATTTCACTCAAATTCTGTCTCATAAACTCGTGTGAGTTTGATTAAATCTTCAGACTGTAATATACCTGATGACTGTGTAAATATGAGCTGTTATTGAGTCGATTCAGTATTTATGAACTACAGAAGAAACTTCAGGCGTTCATTTTTAGATATTTCTAACTCGCATCAGCGATTGCTTTCCCAATTTCAGCGCAGATGTCTCGTGTTTTTCATTGTGACTCCAGAGACTGAGCATCTTTTCAGAGAAGCATCGTTGAGCTCAGGTCAGAAGTGCGTGCAGTTCTTCATCACTGTAATCGTGAGGAGTTCAGGGACGAACAATGTGACTTATACTGATGGGGCAGAGATATAATGGTGTTTTAGTGATCTCATGCGGATTCACTGTCGAATTCACCAATCTGTGAGTGAGTTCATCTTAATGATAATGAATCATTGGATTTCTGTCTTTCTTCTGCTTCCTGCTATGCTCTTCATCATTGAGGAAGTGAAGCAGCAAACTCACACTCCAGTGAACTAGTTAACTCTGCTCTTCCTGCTAGTTCACCATCTGATTGTGTGAGAGATGACTCTGAACACACACATATAATAATCTCTAACACCAGTCAAGTCACATTTATTTCTATAGTGCTTTATACAGTACACTTTGTGTCAAAGCAGCTCAAAACAGGAAAACAACAGTGTCAAGTGTTGCCAAATCCATCAGTTATGAAACACTCACAATTTTCTCTTACGCTTTTAAACGTTACATAAATGTTCAGACAAAATGGAACGGTCTTACCTTATTAATATTCAATATGCATTGTCAAAGTTGAGGAAACACGCTCTGGGATCATCATTCTTGAAATGTTCTTATGATGTTTGTACTTGATGAACATTCTAAGAAATGCTTCTTTGTAACCTTAAAATCACGTCATGCACAATATAACATTCTAGAAACATTTCAAAGCAACGTGTTTACAACCTAAATTTACTGTCATTATTCAAATCAACTCATTTCAAGTTTTATTCTCATCTGATAGTTTCAGTGCCATCAAATCAATAATAATACTGAATATTAATATAAAAAGTCTTTTAAACCCAACTAAGCAAGCCAAAGGCAACCGTGGCGAAGAACGAGACGTTTCTAGCATGTCTTTTTAGGCATTGTACCGTGGTAACATCAAAGGACGGAAGCAGATATCATAGTCTATGAGTATGGTAATCCCTCAGTGACATGATATATGTCAAAGTGCCTTGATATTACCATCTGATCTAAAGTGATCACACATTCTCATTTGTGACTTTTTTGAGTTTGTAAAAATGCAGGAAGTTTTCCGTGTGTGGGTTATAGAGGTAGATTCTAGTATTAATAACTAGCTGTACAAAAACCCCAATAGAAGTCCATGTCCTCATTTGTGCTTGACTGTATTGATCATTTGAAGTGTGTTCAGTCAGTGTTTGTTCATCAGTGAGTATAGTTTGAATCTGTCTGTGTGTGGAAGGTTTACAGTCAGTCATTAGACGCTTCTCACGGTCTCAGACAGAAATACACTGCTGATCTCTGATCTCGTCAAAGCAGCGGAGCCTGACCATTCATTTCGTTTGCATACACTTTAATAAATAATCCGAGACAGAGTTTAGGATTCATGAATCCAAAAGAAACCCAATGAGGGAACGTGTGATCAGGAGTATTTATCCAACTAACAGAGAACCTTCTCATAACTTTCACTAACGCGTTTTAAAAGTTCTCGTAATGTTGAGAGAAAACATCCTGCGGTCAGCATTCTCAGATCGTCCTTTTGATGCTATTTGCACTTGATGAACGGTTTAAGAAATGTTTTTTGTAACCTTTTAACACACCATGAGTCAAGAAAACTGGATGTCTTTGCAACTTTTTTTTTCTTGGTTATTGTGAACGTTAAGGAAACATTCGATTTTATCATTTTGCAAACAAACAATTTGCGGGAACGCTACTTTTAAATGTTCTGAAACAAGCTGTTACATTTAAAAAACAGTAGATGAACAGTCAACTATAACTAATCACTATATAACCAGTCACTTTGAGGGAAGCGTGCCGGAGCGTTTCCTGTCATCTGGTTAGTGATGTGTGATGGTGTGCTCCTGGTTCAGTGTGATTGATTGTCTTTCTGTCTTCTCACCTCTGATCAGAGCATCAGGGCAATGACACGACTCAGTCCTCCATTCAGCTGCACTTCTGCTCTTCTACTTCCTCTTACCGTCTCGTATTGCTCTCACTTCCACTTCTCAACACATTTAAAGCCCGTGTTCAGCCGACGGAACTTCATAACGTACTGTGACCCCCAAAACAAAACATCAGGGATCTTTTCTCTTCACAAACGTCACGCTTGAGTCTCAGTGTGTTTGAATCAGTGGATGTTTGTGCATCTTTACTGTGACTGGAATGACTCTCGGTCAGATGCAGGTGTGATTGTGGTGTTTGATTTGTTAGTAATTGATCGGAGATGAAGCTGTTGTATTTGAGCGGAAGTCAAAGTATTGTGTCACGTTGTTTAACTGAGAGTGTTGCACAGGAGGACAGACAATGTTTCCCACATCCTCTCGCACACACACACACTCACACACACACTCACTCACACACACACTCACACACACACTCACTCACTCACTCACTCATACACACCCACCCACACACACTCACACACTCACACGCACACACACACACACACTCACTCACTCACTCACTCATACACACCCACCCACACACACTCACACACTCACACGCACACACACACACACACTCACTCACTCACTCACTCATACACACCCACCCACACACACTCACACACTCACACGCACACACACACACACACTCACTCACTCACTCACTCATACACACCCACCCACACACACTCACACACTCACACGCACACACACACACACACTCACTCACTCACTCACTCATACACACCCACCCACACACACTCACACACTCACACGCACACACACACACACACTCACTCACTCACTCACTCATACACACCCACCCACACACACTCACACACTCACACGCACACACACACACACACTCACTCACTCACTCACTCATACACACCCACCCACACACACTCACACACTCACACGCACACACACACACACACTCACTCACTCACTCACTCATACACACCCACCCACACACACTCACACACTCACACGCACACACACACACACACTCACTCACTCACTCACTCATACACACCCACCCACACACACTCACACACTCACACGCACACACACACACACACTCACTCACTCACTCACTCATACACACCCACCCACACACACTCACACACTCACACGCACACACACACACACACTCACTCACTCACTCACTCATACACACCCACCCACACACACTCACACACTCACACGCACACACACACACACACTCACTCACTCACTCACTCATACACACCCACCCACACACACTCACACACTCACACGCACACACACACACACACTCACTCACTCACTCACTCATACACACCCACCCACACACACTCACACACTCACACGCACACACACACACACACTCACTCACTCACTCACTCATACACACCCACCCACACACACTCACACACTCACACGCACACACACACACACACTCACTCACTCACTCACTCACTCACTCACTCACTCACACACACACACTCACTCACTCACTCACACACACACACACACACACACTGCTGCACAATAAATGTGTCGCATGCGTATGCGTGTGCTCAAATCGCGTGTGATCAGTTTCTATATGTGTGAACATGCTGCTATTTCATGTCTTATTTTTTGACAATCAGCTTCACACCTCAGATGCTGAAAGATTCAACTGTACAGTTGTTCTCTTCAGCAAATGTTTTTTTTCTCTTTTATCTCATTTGACTTGTAAAATGACTTTTTTAAATGCCTTTCATCAGTACTTTTGTCATTTTCCGGTAAATCTAAGCATTCTTAAATGCCTCATTCATAATTTTTTATTTTATTTATTTAGTTAACAGGGACATTGTACATTAATATAACATTTCTGTAACAATGTAGCACAAGTAGACACCTCGTTATCCTTTTAAGATATTCACTCAATATAATTACAACCTACTTGGTACACCATACACGATGACGGTAACAATCAATGGATAGTGTTTGAGTATGAATGGGTCATTTTGAGTAGAAAGATGTAACAAAACAGTAAGTTATTAAACCTAACAACCAAAGCACTCATAAAACAGTGTAAATACAACTCGAAAACGGTGAAAAATGTAACCTTTTTAATTATTCATGCCCCAGTGCATGATGGGAAAAGCGGGATCATAACTTTGATATTTTCTTGAATCCTTGCAAACATAAACAATTCCAAATAAAATATCAAAGTTATGATCCCGCTTTTCCCATCATGCACTGGGGCATGAATAATTAAAAAGGTTACATTTTTCACCGTTTTCGAGTTTCACCGATTCCAAAAATAATCAATAATCAATGAAGCTGTTTTGCTCTTTCACGTCACACTTTTTTGTTTTTTATACAAAATATGACGCATTTCGTTTGTGTGAAGAAGCCCCCTTAATCAGCAGAAAAACACCACAAACTCATGATTCCTGTCTGAATCTGAGCCAGATTACAACTATTTGCTCATATTTTCACAGGTATGATATTATTTGATGCCTGATCCTGATTTCATTGTCAGAATTATGGCTGGTGCAAAATATGAACCTGGTGATTTTTGTGAAAAAGCATATTTTATAAAGTACTTTGATATTAAGTGGATCATTTGAACATGTTTTTACACTCGTTTGCAAATTTTAAGTTAAATGATTTATTCTGAATACTACTTTTTATTATTTTGAAAAACGTTTGGCATTTGACTCCTTTTGTTATTTTGATAAGTGCATTAAAGCTGATACATGTATATCATTTGAATTTTTTAAATTCTTATTTGATGAAAAATCTGTATGTGAAGTTTTTCTTGCTATTTCCAAACTCAGCATCATCAAATTAGGTAATATTAGGCCTTTTTTGCAAATCAGCAGAATTTTGTGTTATCAGACTTTAAAAAAAAACGTGTGATCAGACCATTTTTAAGTGTTTTAAATGTTATCAGAAGTGTTTACGTGTTATCAGGTAGTTTTTTACATGTTTTAAGTGTATTTTTAAGTGTTATCATACAGTTTTAAGTGTTTTTGACATTATCAGACAGTTTTACGCATATTTAAGTGTTATCAGCCAATTTTAAGTGTTACTTTAAGTGCGTTTTAAATGTTATCAGACCGTTTTTAAGCATTATCAGACGGTTTTTAAGTCTTGCTTTAAGTGTTTTTAAGTGCTATCAGACCATTTGTAAGTGTTTGTAAGTGTTTTTAATTGTTATCAGACAATTTTAAGTGTTATAAGACCATTTTAAGTGTTTTAAATGTTATCAGACAGTTTTTAAGTGTTTTAGTATGTGTTATCAGATAATGTTTAAGTGTTTTAAGTGTTATCAGACCGTTTTAAGTGTTGTAAGTGTTTTATAAAACCTTATCAGACAGTTTTAATTGTTTTAAGTGTTTTTAAACCTTATCAGACAGTTTTAAGTGTTATCAGACAGTTTTTAAGTGTTATTTTAAGTGGTTTTAAATGTTTTTAAGTGTTATCAGGCAGTTTTTAAATGTGTTTGTGTGTTTTCAAGTGTTATCAGACAGTTTTAAGTGTTATTTTAATTGGTTTTAAAATGTTTTTAAGTGTTAACAGGCAGTTTTTAAATGTTTTTGTGTGTTTTCAAGTGTTATCAGACAGTTTTAGAAGTTTTAAGTGTTTTTAAGCTTTATCAGACAGTTTTAAGTGTTTTAAGCCTTATCAGACAGTTTTAAGTGTTTTTAGGTGTTCTTAAGTGTTATCAGACAGTTTTAGGTGTTTTAAGTGTTTTTAAGCCTTATCAGACAGTTTTTAAATGGTTTTTAATGTTTTTAAGCATTTTCAGACATTTTTAAGTGTTTATAAGTGTTATCAGACAGTAGAGTGTTATTTTAAGTGGTTGAAGAAATGACAAAAAAGCGCTACTCTACACTGCCCAAAACTCACGTTTGAATCGTCAGTGGCAAATCCTTTAAATATAAAAAACGTACTTACAGTCTGTGAGTCAGAACAGCCGGTATTACAGTCTACTCTAGGATGTAATTGTAATATAGTGACATAAACTTAGCGTCCCACAGAGGGGACGGGTGACAGTTAAGAGGTCAAGTGTTCTCAGACAGTTTTATTTTATTTAAGTGTTATGAAAAGCGGGATCATAACTTTGATATTTTCTTGAATCCTTGCAAACATAAACAATTCCAAATAAAATATCAAAGTTATGATCCCGCTTTTCCCATCATGCACTGGGGCATGAATAATTAAAAAGGTTACATTTTTCACCGTTTTCGAGTTTCACCGATTCCAAAAATAATCAATAATCAATGAAGCTGTTTTGCTCTTTCACGTCACACTTTTTTGTTTTTTATACAAAATATGACGCATTTCGTTTGTGTGAAGAAGCCCCCTTAATCAGCAGAAAAACACCACAAACTCATGATTCCTGTCTGAATCTGAGCCAGATTACAACTATTTGCTCATATTTTCACAGGTATGATATTATTTGATGCCTGATCCTGATTTCATTGTCAGAATTATGGCTGGTGCAAAATATGAACCTGGTGATTTTTGTGAAAAAGCATATTTTATAAAGTACTTTGATATTAAGTGGATCATTTGAACATGTTTTTACACTCGTTTGCAAATTTTAAGTTAAATGATTTATTCTGAATACTACTTTTTATTATTTTGAAAAACGTTTGGCATTTGACTCCTTTTGTTATTTTGATAAGTGCATTAAAGCTGATACATGTATATCATTTGAATTTTTTAAATTCTTATTTGATGAAAAATCTGTATGTGAAGTTTTTCTTGCTATTTCCAAACTCAGCATCATCAAATTAGGTAATATTAGGCCTTTTTTGCAAATCAGCAGAATTTTGTGTTATCAGACTTTAAAAAAAAACGTGTGATCAGACCATTTTTAAGTGTTTTAAATGTTATCAGAAGTGTTTACGTGTTATCAGGTAGTTTTTTACATGTTTTAAGTGTATTTTTAAGTGTTATCATACAGTTTTAAGTGTTTTTGACATTATCAGACAGTTTTACGCATATTTAAGTGTTATCAGCCAATTTTAAGTGTTACTTTAAGTGCGTTTTAAATGTTATCAGACCGTTTTTAAGCATTATCAGACGGTTTTTAAGTCTTGCTTTAAGTGTTTTTAAGTGCTATCAGACCATTTGTAAGTGTTTGTAAGTGTTTTTAATTGTTATCAGACAATTTTAAGTGTTATAAGACCATTTTAAGTGTTTTAAATGTTATCAGACAGTTTTTAAGTGTTTTAGTATGTGTTATCAGATAATGTTTAAGTGTTTTAAGTGTTATCAGACCGTTTTAAGTGTTGTAAGTGTTTTATAAAACCTTATCAGACAGTTTTAATTGTTTTAAGTGTTTTTAAACCTTATCAGACAGTTTTAAGTGTTATCAGACAGTTTTTAAGTGTTATTTTAAGTGGTTTTAAATGTTTTTAAGTGTTATCAGGCAGTTTTTAAATGTGTTTGTGTGTTTTCAAGTGTTATCAGACAGTTTTAAGTGTTATTTTAATTGGTTTTAAAATGTTTTTAAGTGTTAACAGGCAGTTTTTAAATGTTTTTGTGTGTTTTCAAGTGTTATCAGACAGTTTTAGAAGTTTTAAGTGTTTTTAAGCTTTATCAGACAGTTTTAAGTGTTTTAAGCCTTATCAGACAGTTTTAAGTGTTTTTAGGTGTTCTTAAGTGTTATCAGACAGTTTTAGGTGTTTTAAGTGTTTTTAAGCCTTATCAGACAGTTTTTAAATGGTTTTTAATGTTTTTAAGCATTTTCAGACATTTTTAAGTGTTTATAAGTGTTATCAGACAGTAGAGTGTTATTTTAAGTGGTTGAAGAAATGACAAAAAAGCGCTACTCTACACTGCCCAAAACTCACGTTTGAATCGTCAGTGGCAAATCCTTTAAATATAAAAAACGTACTTACAGTCTGTGAGTCAGAACAGCCGGTATTACAGTCTACTCTAGGATGTAATTGTAATATAGTGACATAAACTTAGCGTCCCACAGAGGGGACGGGTGACAGTTAAGAGGTCAAGTGTTCTCAGACAGTTTTATTTTATTTAAGTGTTATCAGACCGCGTTTTAAGAGTTATCTGATGGTTTTTAAAAGTTTAGTGTTTTTAAGTGTTATCTTGTTTTGCTTTGAGTTCCCATTGACAGTTATTTGTTCTTGTTTTAATCATAAACTCACTTAATTTTGATCAGTTTCTCAGAAAACCAGACTTCATATTTTAAGCCATCGCCAGTAAATGTATCTTAATTTATTAAATCTTAAGTATTCATAAATACTGAGGAAGAGCATCACTGTTTGCCGTGTGTAACTAATGTCGTCAGGTTGATTCTGTCTGTCATGGTTTACTGTATGCAGTGAAGCACAGCTGCAGGTTTGCTGACTGAAGTCTCTGTACAGTGTCTGATTTTCATGTTTTGCAGTGAACAAAGCATCTGTCAGGCGCGGGCCACCGTCATGATGTACGATGACGGCAGCAAGCGCTGGTTACCGGCCGGTTCTGGCGCTCAGGCCATCAGCAGGGTTCACATCTTCCAGAACCCCAGTAACAACAGCTTCAGGGTGGTGGGACGCAAACAACAGGCCGATCAGCAGGTAACTCTGACTTATGCCATTAAAAACTGTGTTTAATGTGTGAGACGAGATTAGACAAGAAGTTTAGTGTGTGTGTGTGTGTGTGTATGTGTGAAGCCACAGCATGAGGAAGGAGGAAGTGTGTGTGTGTGTGTGTGTGTGAAGGATGTTGTCATTGCTGTGAATGTGCATGCTGGGCATCATGGGAAAGTGGCGTGTTGTGTGCCGTCCCAGCAGCCGCAGATCTCGGTGGTTTATCTCAGAGACACTTCAGTCTCACAGCTTCTGAATTGTCTCTCGTTTCCTGTAAATCATGTCAGTGTGGCGGTTCACTGCTGTCTGCTCCACAACACCACAATCACTGGACAGTTCATCAGACAATCGTTCTGCTGCATTCAATAGATTCAGACCTCAGTGTCAGATAGGAAAACATAATTATGAGTGCAGTCTACATCACTGCTAATGGTGGGAGATATTGTGGGGGAAAAAATAAAACTTAATACATTTTAAAATGTAAAAAAATTAATTTCATAAAACAATATGTATTTTTTATGTACTTGTCCTTATATTTATTTATTTATTTATTAATTTGTTTGTCTCTCTGAGGTTATATCATTTTTATCTATTTATTCATCAATTCATCCAGCCCTTTGAGATCGCACACTGCTAGTTTTATGGCCAGAGCCGCTGGTTCCCATGAGTGTTGTGTGTGTGTGTGTGTGTCTGTTTGATGAAGATCTGATTCCTGTCTGTCATCCGTGTGTCTCTTCAGGTGGTCATTAACTGTCCTCTGGTCCGGGGGATCAAATATAACCAGGCCACTCCTACGTTCCACCAGTGGCGCGATGCGCGGCAGGTCTGGGGTCTGAACTTCGGCAGTAAAGAAGACGCGGCTCAGTTCGCCAGCGGCATGACGCATGCACTCGACGTGCTCAGTGGAGATGCCGGTGAGAGCTCTTAGGGAAAAATACGTGTTTTTAGGAGTAAAATGTGCTATAAATCAGTGTGAGTGACATATCAACAAACCTTCAGAATACAGAGAGGAATAAAACTATGAAGGCTTGTGTGTGTGTAAGAGAAAAAATCTTTTAAGATATGGATTGGAATTGAAATCTACAGACGCAAATAGATAAAAAGCAGTAAAATGTGTAAATGGTATGTTTTCTTTCCTCTAGTCTGAAAGAAGAGAGATGATATGGAAGCAAAATAGACCAAAAAGTGACCAGTGCATGAAAACACACTGGTTTGTCTGTAGTGTCACGCCATAAAACATGTAAAAACACCTGTATGGTTTGTGTCCACAGGTGCGTGTCCTCCTCCACCTCAACCGCCTCCGAACGGCCCGAGCGCTGAGGAGCTAGAGCAGAAGAGGAGGTACAAACATCATCATCATCTTCTTTATCATGACATGGAAATCAGCCCTGATTTACACAATTTATTCTGCACAAATCAGAGTTTGCCTTCATTTGAACTTTCTATTCATCTGTGAATCCTAAAAAATAAAATGTATCAGTTTGCACAAAAATATTGTGCAGCACAACTGTGTTCAACATTGATAATAATCAGAAATGTTTCTCGAGCAGCAGATCAGCATATTATACTGATTTCTGAAGATCATGTGACACTGAAGACTGGAGGAATGATGCTGAAAATACAGCTGCGCATCACAGAAATACATTACAGTTTAACAGAGATTCACATAGAACACAGCTATTTATATCATAAAAAATATTTCACTATTTTTACTGTATTTTTGATAAATACATGCAGACTTGGTTAGCAGAGGAGACTACTTTTTAAAAAATTACTAAATCGTAATTATTCCAAACTTTTGGAAATGACTCTCCTCTTCAGCTGATGTCATCAGTCCCTCTTATTCACCATCCAATCAGTGGATGAATAAAATCAAGACCCGCCCACATACAGTGGGGAAAAAAAGTATTTAGTCAGCCACCAATTGTGCAAGTTCTCCCACTTAAAAAGATGAGAGAGGCCTGTAATTTTCATCATACGTATACCTCAACTATGAGAGACAAAATGAGAAAAAAAATCCAGAAAATCACATTGTAGGATTTTTAAAGAATTTATTTGCAAATTATGGTGGAAAATAAGTATTTGGTCAATAACAAAATTTCATCTCAATACTTTGTTATATACCCTTTGTTGGCAATGACAGAGGTCAAACATTTTCTGTAAGTCTTCACAAGGTTTTCACACACAGTCACAATTGGTGGCTGACTAAATACTTTTTTGCCCCACTGTATATTTCGCATGAAACATCCTGTTTTGCTGTGAAATGTGTCACATTAGAGCTGTGAAACTGTGTGTCTCAGGCAGGAGCAACAGGAGAGAGAGAGACAGGAGAGAGAGAGACAGGTGTCTGCCGCTCCGGCCCCGCCTCCTGGTCCTCCTCCCGCTCCTGGCCCCGCCTCTGCACCTCCTCCTCCCCCTGGACCTCCACCTCCTCCAGGACCCCCGCCTCCCCCCCCACCGCCACCTCCTTCAGGAGGAGGCCCGCCGGCGCCCCCCCCCCCGCCCTCAGGAGGAGGAGGAGGAGGAGGAGGAGGGTTAGGAGGAGGAGATGGAGGTCTGGCCGGGGCGCTCGCTGGAGCTAAACTACGCAAAGTGGCCAAGGTCAGTCACATGTCATCTGATGATTAATGAGATGCATGTATGTCTGAGCTTTCCTGTGTTGTAGTGCTTGATTGACAGGTGAGTAGGCGGTCCTTCACTGTTGTCCATGATGTGTCACAGCTACAGATCTGATCACGTGACCAGCTAGCTGTTCAACCCGGAGCCTCAGGATGAATTGAAATGAGGCAAACCAAGCATTAAAATAAGCTTTCAGGAGCAATAAGGATTCATACGGTCTTGGAAAACCTGGATATATGTGATCCTGGTTCACAAAACCAGTCATAAGTTTAATTTTTTTTAAATTGAGATTTATACATAATAATTTATACATCGCCAAAGCTGAATGAATAAGAATCAATTTCCATTGGTGTATGGTTTGTTAGGAGAGCACAATATTTGAAAATCTGGAATCTGAGGGTGCAAAAAAATCTAAATATTGAGAAAATCATCTTTAAAGTTGTCCAAATGAAGTTCTTAGCGATGCATATTACTAATCAAAAATTAAGTTTTGATATATTTACGGTAGGAAATTTACAAAATATCTTCTTTACTTAATATCCTAATGATTTTTGGCATAAAAGAGAAATGTATAATTGTGACCCATACAATGTATTGTTGGCTATTGCTACAAATATCCCCCAGCGACTCAACACTGCTTTTGTGCTGCAGGGACACATATTGTGGCAATAAAATAAAACAAATATTAGATTAAATAAATAAATGAACTAAAAATGAATTAAGTTTAAATACTAAAATCAATAAATGCATTTTTTTAAATTAAAACTGCCACAAAAAAAAAAAGTGTAACTGATTGAAAATATTTACACACACACACACACACACACACACACATTTTTGAATCCAGAGTGGTCATTATTAACTAACACTATCAAAAAAAAAATTGTTACCTGAAATAAAGCTGAAATAAAACTACATTTTAGATAAAAATAAATGATAAATTATTTTTAAAATGACAATGTAAAAGCAATTTATTTCACAATCGGCCATGGATTATATCCTGTCAGTCAAAAGGCAGCAGAATAACGTGTCAGACTGCATACTGTGTGTGAAGACAATCTCTCGTGTTGAATTTAGGGCTGTCAAAATTAACACAAGATTCAATTCAGGGATGCCAGATCTCATCTTTCAAATTCTATCCATTCCATCACAAAATTCAAGCAATGAATGGCATTTTGATGCTTTTAAATGTGACAAGACCTTCAAGCAGCACCGCAGAGCAAGAGTTTCTTCCACTTGAATACATGTTATAGTGTGAAATAAACATGAATGAACATTAGAGGATAAGTTGAAAGACACAGTAAGGCTAGGCAAGTTTATTTATGTAGCACATTTCATACACAATGGTAATTCAAAGTGCTTTACATAAAAGAAAGTAAAATAATCATTATATATATATACACATCACAACAATAAAAACAAGACATTTTAAAACTTTTAAACATGGCTGTTGCTCCTATAGCAGCTCTTTTTCAACAGTTCTTTTGTCTTTGAGTCATAATGTTATTAAGAAATATATGCTAGAACTTTTCAGTTTCTAAGCTATTTTATTGAGAAATCACAGAACAGTGTTGACAATATGACAAAATGTATTAGCCCTATAGTTTAAATACATGCATGAAATACTATTTAAACCTATAACATTTTACATAACATTTAACTATTTAATTTCACAATTCTGACTTTTTTTTTTTCTTGCAAATTCAAGTTTATATCTCCTAGTTTGGACTTTATAACTTGATTCAACTCAACAATTGCGAGTTTGTCAATTCTGAGGAAAAAAAGCCAGAAGTGTGGGATTATAAACTAAAAAGAAAAAATGACGAGTTGAGTTTTCTTACCAGAATTGTGAGATATAATCTCGGAATTGCAAGAAAAAATAATTTTTTTCCATGGCTTGAATAGACTGCTACGTTAAAACTGTCATTTTCTGCCACCGGATAGGCTCCGCCCACAAAAAACGTCATCACTGTTTGCAAACACTGAAATTGGTCTGTACAATAAGTGGTTTAAAACGTGCATTCTCACGTTCAATTTCGAGCATCCAGTAATATAATCTCACAAGTCTTGTGGAGCGCTTTCAGAGTATGCATTTATTTGTCATTTTAACTGTTTGAAAACGGAGCGTAAATGTGGAAGTCCTTCAAAGATTTCTTATCCTGTTGCGCCCTCTATAGGACCAGCGACTAGCCGACGTCAAGCTTAAAGTTGACTAGTCGATTAGTCGGTGCAACCCCTAGTAATTATGATATCTGAAAATAAAGTTGAAAATGATAGCTCTGTTGTAAATTTTAACCTTTAATTTTATAGTAATGTACCAAATGAGAGGGTTCCCTGTATAGTTTACAACATTGGTTAGGAGAGGTTTTTTCCTTAAGAAAATCAAGCTATCAGCATCGTTATCGGCAGATATCATTCTGAATAATCAGCTATCAGTATTAGCAGATATAATTCTGAATTAAAGCTGCAAGCAGCGATGAAAGGGCCCTCGCACCCGGGCTCGCCACCACCCGGCGGCTTTAGGAAAACCGCAAACGGTGGGCAATATGCATTTAAAGTGGTAAATATAGGAGGAATATGTCAAAGTCATTTATATGTGCCAAACTTCCTGCTGCCAGCTGGTGGCGCTATGTCTATAACTAAACATTGGCATGTAGATGTCTTTAGGCCAGTGCTTTTATCAAACATATGAAGTTTGGTGAAAATTGAACATGGTATGTTTGAGTTAGTGTAAAGCATGACATATCCTGTTGTCAACAGGTGGCGCTATGATTACATCTGAATATTGGCCTTCAGATGTGTTCAGACTAGGACTCTTATCAAACATGTGAAGTTTGGGGAAGATACAACAACTTCTATTCCCATGGCGAGACAGCGAACTTTGTCACAGCGCCATGGACATGCCCTTAAACGAAAACTCAAGATCTTGGCAATTTAACATCGCAAAGGCCTTTAGATTACACTGACCAACTTTGGTGTTGATCTGAATAAATCTCTAGGAGGAGTTCATTAAAGTACAACATTTTTACACAAATTTTGCCGAGAAAATTACAAATAACCGACTTCCTGTTGGGATTCGGATTTCATACCAGGAGACTTTTCTGTAGGTATTGGTGTGTTGCATGTGTGTACCGATTTTATTCATTGTGTAGTTTAGAGAGCTTCACTGATTATAACGGAACTTTGTGAGATCCCAATGAACTAAGATGAGTGATGCTTTTAGTGATACTAATGGGAGCGTGCTTTGCATGCTTTTTAGGCTATAACCCATTCAGAATTTGTTTGAAACTTTCATTTTTCGGACATACATGCTGCAACGTTTCGGGAATGACATCTGCATATTTATGCTGGATTCATTCTCGAAATACCAGTGATTGACACAGTGATAAACAAAGCAATGGACAGGACAAAAATGCCTCTGTGATTTATTCTGGAAGCGGTCCTGGCCAAACTTCCACAGACAGCACGTGTCCTGAGCGAGATCCAGTTCACGGACTAAAAGTGTGTGTAAACTTTATTGAGATCGGGACATATCAACCAGCAATTTCATTTCCAGTAACGGATGGTAGAATTTTTAGAAATCAATAGTATGCAATTCATGACCGAATAGTCCCACAACTGATCGTTTATTTTTTCCTTACGTTTCTCACCTTTAGTAACAACAATTCAAAACGGACACGTTTCAAGTGACATGGGAAAAAGACACGGAAAACTTAAATAAACATCAGAAAAGCGTGCACACTTCTGGTTAAAAATGAAAGGCCACTTAAAACGGGAAGCATCACCATTCAAATCAGCAACAAGAGTCAAAGCTCCACAGTTTAGTAAACGCAGACAACCTCTTTAAGTTATTCTTGACTGCGCTGTATTGACTGCTTTGATGCATACATCCGAAAAAGATTTATTTTGCCTTTTATTTTCTTGCTCCCCTGACTCAAGAGTCAAATGTCGCCCGTGGGTAATGGTACTGGCAGATATTCTGAATATTCAGCTGTCTGTATCGGCAGATATCATTCTGAATATTCAGCTGTCTGTATCGGCAGATATCATTCTGAATATTCAGCTGTCTGTATCGGCAGATATCATTCTGAATAATCGGCAGAGAATTTACGTAGAGAAGTAATGGTGCATCTCTAATTTATATATAGTATTTTTTATTACATTTTAGTAAAATATTTTGTGCAATACATGTTGTCTAATATTTATGCTAATCAATGAATTTGTATGACTTTTCATAACTGTGTGTGTGTGTGTGTGTGCAGGAGGATAGTGGAGCAGCGGCTCCTGCAGTGAGCGCCAGCACAGGAGGAGGAGGAGGAGGAGGAGGAGGAGGAGGAGGACTGATGGGAGAAATGAGTGCAATTCTCGCTCGACGGTCAGTTTAACGCCACCACAATCATAAATGATGATGTCTGCTCTGCAGTGGAAATATACACACATATACATTTATATACACATATACATAAATTTAGTCCGAAACTATTTGCTTAGACAGGAAGTGGCCGTCTAAAAGTCTCCTCCAGTTGCTCGTGTGCAATTTAGAGTCAATCTGAAACTGATGCTGCAGCAGCAACACTATATATTGCTTCAGTGTGTGTGTGTGTGTGTGTGTGTGTGTGAGAGAGTGTGTGCGTGCGTGTGTGTGTGTGTGTGTGTGTGTGTGTCTGTGTGTGTATGTGAGAGAGTGTGTGCATGTGTGAGTGTGTGAGAGAGTGTGTGCGTGCGTGTTTGTGTGTGAGTGTGTGTGTGTGAGAGATTCGTTTGTGTGTGAGAGAGAGTCGTGTGTGTATGTGAGAGAGTGTGTGCGTGCGTGTGTGTGTGTGTGTGTGTGTGTGTGTCTGTGTGTGTATGTGAGAGAGTGTGTGCATGTGTGAGTGTGTGAGAGAGTGTGTGCGTGCGTGTTTGTGTGTGAGTGTGTGTGTGTGAGAGATTCGTTTGTGTGTGAGAGAGAGTCGTGTGTGTATGTGAGAGAGTGTGTGCGTGCGTGTGTGTTTGTGTGTGTGTGTGTGTGTGTGAGAGAGAGTGTGTGTGTGAGTGTGTGAGAGAGTGTGTGCGTGCGTGTTTGTGTGTGAGTGTGTGTGTGAGAGATTCGTTTGTGTGTGAGAGAGAGTCGTGTGTGTATGTGAGAGAGTGTGTGCGTGCGTGTGTGTTTGTGTGTGTGTGTGTGTGTGTGTGAGAGAGAGAGAGTGTTAGTGATAATGTGTGATGGTTCTCTTCTCTGTTCTCAGGCTGATTCTGTGAACAGTGACTCCAGAGCTGCAGGTGAGAGTCAAATCACTTCATCATCTCTCTGCACTTCCTGTTTACGGTGAACATCGTGACCTCAAACGCTCTTCGTGTTTCTCTTTCAGACAAACCAGACGTGGTGAAGAAGCCCTGGGAGAAACCGTCGTCTGTGTCACGGTAAAAACAGATCTCTGACGCTTCAATAAACCTGCTGTGTGATTCAGACGGGGGTGTTTGACTGTTACATTTATATTTTCAGTTTTCATTTTAGTTATTTGGTTATGTGCTTTTGTCATTTGTATTATTTGTTTATTCTAAATAGGTTTACTTTACTTTTTTATGTCAGTTTTAATTTGATTTCAGCCATCAATTGTAGTACTTAAACCTTTTTTAGTTAATTGTTTATCTAATATTTGTTTCATTTCAGGTTTCTTTTATTTAACAATGTTTTTAATAGTTTTAGTTAACAATAACAACACTGGTTACAGAATTTGTATTTGTTTTTCAAAAAATAGTATTTGTTTTTGTTTTATAAAAAATATTTCTTACTTCAGTTTGTTTCATTTCAGTTTTAATTTTAGTTTTATTCAATTTAGTATTTTTAGTACTTAAACTTATTTCAGTTAGTTGCCAAGGCGATATTTTAAAATTGTATTTAAAATTTGTTTTATTTGATTTCAGCTTTATTTCAGTTAACAAAAATGTTTTTGATAGTTTTAGTTAAGAATAACCACACTTGTTTAAAGAAAATTATACGTTTAAAAAAAAAAAAAATTCTAAATGGTTTAAATTGTATTTTATAATAAAAAAAGTTTTTTAATTTTATTGCAGTTCACATGTTAATTTTATTTCATTTAGTGATTTTAGTATTTAAATTTATTTCAGTTAGTTTCCAAGGCAAAATTTTAAAAATATATATTTTAGTTTATTATTTTTTTAATCCAGTATTTGTTATATTGTATTTGATCTTTTAGCTAATTTTATTTGTATTTCAATTTTAGTTTTATTTAATTTAAATTCAATTTTAGTACTTACACTTATTTCAGTTAGTTGGCAATATTTTACAATTTTGTATTTTTTTTCTATTGTTTCAGCAGTTCACAAACATGTTTTTAATAGTTCTGGTTAATGATTTCTATAGTTGAATAGTTCTAGTTTTGGTTAACGATAACTGGTTTTGAACAGGGTGAATTCAGCGCCTAAGAGTCAGGACAAGAGCCCGGTGTCTCCTGCGACTGCGGCTCCGTTGAGCAGGTACGTCTCGCTCCGCTTCACTGAGTTCTGCTGCTGAGCGTCTGAAGATCGAGCTGAAGATCCGTGTGTTTGGCTTCTTCCCGTAGGACGAGGCCCGGCAGCAGCACAGGAGACGCCGCAGACATGGAGAAACTCAAACAGGTCAGCAACACTGACACACAAACACATACACACACACACTCTCTCTCTCTCTCTCTCTCTCTCACACACACACACACACTCTCTCTCACACACACACACACTCTCTCTCTCTCTCTCTCTCTCTCACACACTCACACAGTACAGACCAGAATTTACATTTCCTTCAGCCTGAGGCGCATTCACTTCACTTTTAGTGTGAAAGGGCTTTTACGTTTGTAGAAGAAGAACTTTTTATATTCAAAACAAACAAGCAAGCCCCGCCCAGATTTAAAAAGTAACTCAAAAGTAACGTAACGCATCCCTTTCCATAAAAAGTAACTACTTAATTAGTTACTTTTTTAGGGAGTAACGCAATATTGTAATGCATTACTTTTAAAAGTAACTTTCCCCAACACTGAAAACAGCTCTGTGTGACCGCAGGACATCCTGGAGGAGATGCGCAAGGAGCTGCAGAAGGTGAAGGACGAGATCATCAGCGGTCAGTGGGGTTCCTCCGCTCTTCTTCACAGAAATACAGTGACGTGATCCCACTCTGACCGGCTGTGATTCCTGTGTTTCCTCCACAGCTCTGCTGGAGGAGCTGCAGAAGATCAATGCGGCGTAGCTGCGCATCAGGAAGATCTGCGCAAACGTCTGCGCAGAGCCTCGAACACACGACGCTTCCCTCTCACGCTCGTTGTTTACTGTAAGCGGTCCGCTATGCAGCGCTTGGAAGTGCAAATAAAGCCGTTTGAAGGTCAGGCTGATCCCGGATCAGTGTCTCCGCGTCACTGTGATTCCCGCCGCAGCGGCGAAGCGCGCCGAGCTGACCCCAGATCAGCGGGGGGCGGGGGGCGGGGCGCAGCGCGGTGACGTCTCTCTGGTGAACTCTGAACGCGAGAGACACAGTCGTGCAAAAGCGCGTTGAATTTTCACTCGATCCGGATCAAAACGCGATAAACGAAGCGAGACAGCCGTCAGTGTGCTCGTGTTTAACCACAATACGAGCGGAGCGATGGTTAACCGAGAGTTTGTGTGGTAAACAACTGCTCTGCACTGACAGCGAACAGGTAGTTTGGATAAATCACTAAATTAAGTCGTTTAAGCAGTGTAATATCTGAGGTAATCTGTGAATAACATCAGAATAAGTGTGGGTGCTCGCTGCGTGACGGTTAAAGTCGGTTTGCTCGCCGAAGCTCAAAGTTCACGTTGTGTTAGTTTGTTAAGGTAAGTTAGCTTAGCTTCAACTAGCAGCTTCACACGACTAACTAAAGCGTCTTCATCTGGAGATTCCATCACAAACGCCTTCAGCACGCGATTACTTGTGTTTGAACTGTACTGTGCTAATATCATGGTGCTTGGAGTTTTACCGTGGTGTCAGTAACACGATATTCTGGCGAGTGCAGTGTAAATATCATAGTGTGTGTGTGTGTGTGTGTGTGTGTGTGTGTGTGTG